CCACAGTGACTGCAGCTGCAATTACTAATCCCTAATTACTATTAGCTGTTGTCCTTTTCACTGTGACTCCTCAGGCCATCCCATGCACCTCCCACCATCCTTGCCTCCTGGTCTCCCTGCCGGGGCCCATACAGCCCTCAGGGCCCAGTTGACAGTCACTTGCTCGGCGCCCCAGACCACCACGGTGGCCCCACTCTGGAGCCCACACTCGGGGTCTTTTAAAAAAAAAAAAAAAAGACTCCCTTTGAGTGCCTGAAAAAAAAAAAAAAAAAAAGACTCCCTTTGAGTGCCTGGGCCTTTTTGCTTCTCCTGGGGGTTGTTCACCTTTCTCTCCCGGGCGCCCTGCACAGGTCGGGCTCTTCATGGGCATCTGGAAGGACCTATTTCATGAAGGGAAGAAACTAGCCCTTCAGCTGAGTAGGGGTCCCCAGAAGGGAGCTGTGGTAGCCTCTGCCCCCCAAACTGGGGAGCTGACCCCTCAGTGGCTATTATGTTCAAACCACAGGCCTGTGCCACAGCCCGACAGTGACCAGACGGCACATGCTGGGCATCCCTCCTCCGGCCAACGGGCCCCCGTCTGGGGGTCGGTCCCCCCACAGCCTCAAGACCCCTGCAGCAGCAATGCACTCTTTAGACTCTTCCAGAAGAAACTTCCTTGTCCTTCTGTCTCCGACCCCACTCTGACCCGAACACCTACGCACAGATAGAGGCTCACCTGCCTCCTCAGAGGCCTCCAGGGATCTCAACAGTTGTGCTGAGGAGCAAATAGCGCCTGCGCTGAGCAGGCCTTACATGGTGGTCTCAGGTATGGCCCTGGGGCCCTCTGCCACAGCCCTGGTGCCCACAGCCCCTGGGTAACTCCTGCCCCAGCCTCCAGCCCCCATGGAGAATGGCTCTGCCCAGCCTGATGTACCCCCAGCATCCTCAGCCTGGCCTCTGCTGCCATCCCAGGACATCCCCCAAACCCCCTGCTCCTACTCCCCACCCCCAAACGGAAATACACCAGTGCTCCCTCCCAGACCGCCCCCCCGCCACTCTCCCTGCGAGGCCTGCCTGCCCAGCTGCCTCTGGAACCACCGGGCCTGCTGAGCCAGTCCTCGTTCAGGCCCTGGGTCCTCGCATCCCAGCCTTTCTGCTGTAAGCAGCCACAGACGTCCCATAGAGCCGTGAGGCATGTGTGGCCCCCTCACCAGGGGCGCCAGAAAGCACCTTCTCAGAACACAGCAGCTCCTAATTTCTAGAACTGCAGAGTCATTTGGGAAATGAGAAACAGGGTGTTGTGTGACTGATAGTGAAGATAGGGGTTTGGAGGGGTTGCAGGTGATGGGGAGGGTGGGTCAGAAAGGATGGCAGTTACACTACTTTTTCTAAAGAAGAGCCCAGAAGCCAGCCGGTACAGGAGGATAAGCGTGGTTGGGAGGTGAGAGCCCTGCCAAGAGAGCCCCCCCGGGACACACAGGAACACCCCCTCCCGTGCGGCTCTCCTCCATCAGCCGGCGCCCAGCCCAGCCCCGCCCCTGTAGGCTGCAGCTGGGGAGGCCCTGGAGGCACAGCCCTTGGCCTCTGCCCTGCCGTGGCTGTCGGGTACCAGAGCTGGGGCCCGGCCACTTCCTCAGACCGGGCCAGGGGGCGTGGCCTCGTGCCGCCTTGTCATGCCCTCTGGCTTCCCACCAAGGCCATCCAGTCCACCTGCCTCCGTGCCCCGGCCTGGTGACACCACTGCCCTCTTCCCATGCCAAGCACCTCCCCGTGGGCCCCCTGGGGTCTGCCAACAGGGGGCAGGCCCGCGCGCAGAAAGGGTCATGCTCCTGGGCACCTGCACTCCATCCCTACCCCCCCCACACACATGGAGGCCCATCAGATGCGGGGGGCACACCACCCCCACCAGACCCTGCCACCCCCACATCTGGGAGAGGCAGCGAGGTCACCGGGAGCTGCCCTCTGGAAGGAGTAGAGAAGGGACTGCCCTGATTCACCTTCACCGAGATTCTGACCCACAGCGTCCCAGGCGGCGAAGCCTGAAGCCAGGCTTGCAGAGCAGATGGTCCAAGCCTCAGAAGGCCCCTGCTCAGGGCTCTTCCAGCACAAAGGGAAACAGCCCCACGCTGTGACACAGGCGGGTCACCACCCAGTACAAGCTTCAGACTGTCTCCAGGCTGTCCTTGTTCCTCCGGGAACAGAGGGGGGATTCCCTCCCCCTTCCTGGCCGTGGACTGGCCAGGGTGTCTCACGACTAGACACGGATGACAAGGGGACACCTCTGCCTTCCCTGTGACCCCGGCTGAGAGGAGCACAGGGTGGCCTTGAAGTGGGGGGAATCAGACAGAGGGGATGGTCTCAGCTCCCGGGGAAAGGTTGTTGAGGGGTGGGGAGTCATTTGAGCTCTCTGAGCCTCAGTTTCCTTATCTGTAAAATGGCGACAATATCGGTGAGCCGGGCTGGTCAGAGGACTGAATGAGAAACTCTATATTGTGCACTTAACACAAGCACCTGCGAGGAGCTCACTTAACGTTAGCCATGGCTGTTCTGGCTCGGAGCCGTGGCTGAGGGACGGGGGCTCTTCACACCCTCCTCTTGGAGAGCCTGCCCCTCTGGGCAGACCTGCGGGTCAGTGCACCAGCAATAACTGCTTGAGGGACACTCAGGGAATGCGTCTTCCCCAAAGCTCTCTTCCTTCTCCTCCCTCCGTTGGCCTCAGCATTGAAACTGCACCATGGAGGGCCTGGCAGCATGTCGGACGGCAGGACTCTGCACAAAACTGCTGGTACTGCCAAATAAAGAAACAAAAGCTTAAAAAAAACAAAAACAAAAACGGGGCAGGGGGTGGCCTGGGTGGCTCAGCCAGTTAAGCATCTGTGTTCGGCTCAGGTCATGATCCCAGGGTCCTGGGATCGAGTCCCACATTGAGGGATCCTGCTTCTCCCTCTCCCTCTGCCGCTCCCCCTGCTTGTGCTCACTCTCTCACTATCCCTCTCTGTCAAATAAATAAATAAAATCTTGAAAAAAAAAAAACAAAACCTGCTGGTAGAGCAGGGTGGAGTGCAAGGGGCCAGCACAGGCCTGTTTAGAGGTGGGTTTGGGAGCGGGGCAGATAGAGGACGGGCCTGATTGCCCACAGAACTCCAGATAAGGGGGGGCCCTGATGGGTCAGCGACTGGGGCTAGCACCCCAAGATGTAGCCTTCCTCCGGCTCCCGCATCAGCACTTCCTGGCCTTAGAGTGTGCCTGTGAAGTAGGTACTGTCTCTCCAGGTTGTGGTGAAGATCAAATGAGACAAGGCGTACAAAAGCCCACCCAACTGCACCACGCATGTGCTAGGGCTGCCGGAGGAAGGGCCACAGACGGGTGGCTGAAACCACGGAGAGTTATTTCTCATGATTCTGGAGGCTGGGAGTCCGAGATCAAGGTGTCAGCAGGGTTGATCTCTTCCGAGGCCTCTCTCTGGGGCTTCTATTGGGCTTCTTCCTGCTGTGTAGGAAGAGCTGTGAGTCAGTTAGGACCATGTTTGGCTGCAGGGGACTGAAAACTAGAGTCACAAGGGCTTAAACAAAGGAGGGATTTTTTTTTTTTTTTAATCTCGCACAGAAAAAGAAGCTCGAGCTGACAGTCAAGGGTTGGTGCCACTTCAGCGGGTCAGCCAGACTCCCTCTCCCCTTGTCCTCCAGCACACTTAGCACCTGGGCTTTTAGCCTCGTGGTTGAAGGATGGCTGCTGTGCCTCCAGGCATCTAATCCATCTTCTAGGAAGGGGGAGAGGGGTAGGGTGAAGTCGGCAGTCCGAGGTAAAGGGCTGACGAACACGCTAGCTGAGTCACTTCCCCCTCTCATTCCACTGGGCAGAACTGGGTCAACATGGCCACCACTAGCTCCAAAGGATCCTAGGAAGTATTTTACAAGGGTACAAGGCTACCCCCCACCCCAGTCGGGCTCCTGCTGGTAGAAAGAAGGGGAAAGGAGACCTTGGGTGGGTGTCCAGCACACTGTTCTCAGCAGAGCTCAGTACCGCGAGGGTGGGTGATGCGGCAGAACCCTGGTGAGGCCAGAACTGGAGCAGAGCCCGGCCCAGGACCACCCCCCACCAGCAGCCAGGGCTCCAGGAGAGGGCAGAGCCTGGGGCTGTAGGTCCTGAGGGCCTGCGTGGCATGGGCAGGCCAGGGGTAGGTAGATTTTTTTTTCCCTTCTCGGACAATGTGCCCTTCCCTCTCCTTTACACACGGGGCCCCTGTGAGCCCGCGTCCACAGCCCCCATTCTACAGACCGCCGCTCTCTTATCTCGAACACACCCTCCCTCGCCACAGGGTCTCCCTGACGCCCCGAGCATGGTACTAACGGGTGGGGGATGGAGACCGCCCCTCATCGCTGCTCCTTGAAGGTCCTCCCCCCTCCACTCTGCCAAAGAAGGGACGCAAAGCTGGGGAGCGGGGGTTGGGGCCAGCCTGCACTGGCTGAGGTCTCTCGGAGATGGGCCATGCTAGGTCCCACCGATTCCCAAGGCTGGGACACACAAGCAAGGTGTTGTGCTGGCAAGGGGGTGAAGGCAGTTACGGAGAGAGAGGAACCCCAAATTAATACTTCAATGGATGACGCTGCTGGGCACGGGGGCTGCCAGGATCTGACAGCTGTGGGAAGGACGGCTCTTGGTGCCGTTAGCTCAGGCTGAGCCATTTATGACAGGGCATTGGGTGCTCGCCCTCATCACGGGCCTCCAGGTGCCTTCCTGCTCATGCTTGTTGTTGTTGTGCTTCATTCTCCAGAAAGTTCCAGCACACCTGCCATTCAGGAGACATCACGGGCACGAGGGCTTGCATTTGCAGCGGTCTCAGAGACTGTGAAACCTGGAGTTGGTGGCCCAGGAGGGAAGACCCCAGAGTGGAGAGAGATGAGAAGACAGGACACTGGACAGGGCCTTCTGGGGAGAGGAACTGTGTTAGTGGGCTGGGGCCACCATGATAAGCACCACAGACTGGGCGGCTTGAACAACTGAAATTTATTTCCCCACAGTCCTGGAGGCTACAAGTCCAAGATCAAGTTGGCAGGGGTGGTTGCTTCGGAGGCCTCTCCTCAGCTTGTAGCTATTCATCTTCTCCCTGCGTCCCCACATGATCTTCCGTCTATGGGAGTCTGCGTCCCAGTCTCCTCTTCTTGTAAGGACTCCAGCCCTCATTTGAACATAATTACCTCTTTAAAGATCCTGCCTCTAAAGACAGTCACATTCCGAGGCACTGGGGGTTAGAACTCAACATGAAACTGGGGGGGACACAGGTCAGCCCACAAGAAAAACCATGCTGGGAACATCTGATGTGGGTGGGGATGGGCGCTGCATGGGAAAGTGGTGGGCGCCACCAAAGAGGCTGCCCAGCTCCCCAGCCCCCACTTCTGCCACCACCACCGGGCTGGCCACCTCCTCCCACCTCCCCGCCCACAACTCCCATGGTGCCACACTGCTCCTTACCTCTCAAACCAGCCCCAGCGCCTTCTAAGGCAAGATTAGCTTTTCAAACAACTTCTGAGCTTGATGACAGCGCCTGATCTTTGCTTGTGGTGACAACTGGGGGAACTTCAGGCAAGGTCAGGAAGGAGGCTGGCGCAGGGTACAGTGGGTGAAGATAGGGTTTTCTGGTTGCCCCTCCCCCAATGCTGCAGGAAGGTGCCTGTTCAGGCCTCTGCCCGGGTTGGGTTTGCCCCGCCTGCTGGCCCAGGCAGCGTTCTGACCGCCACAGGCCACACTGCCAGAGCCTGCAGATCTAGAAGGGGAATGAGGAAGCAAAAGAGGAAGCAGTCTCAAGAAGGAGAGGGGGAAGGACAGGGGCTCCCCCTTCCCTCTTGCCTGGCCCTGCAGGACTGAGCTACCCCTTGCCCAGCCTAGCCCCAGGTGACCTGTTCTGCTGGAGGTGACCCGGGGCAAAGCATGCTCTTCCTGCACACACTCATGCTTTCTGAAATTCGAGGAGGCCAGGGGCGTGCGAGGGGGGTGGGGGGGTCCTGCACAGCCCAGGCCCAGCTGGTCGGGCTAATTTTAGGTTTTTCCCCAGCCTGCCCGAGGCCCACTAATCTCCATCCGCTCAGAGAATGCACGTTGATCAGATGGTGCCTTCTTTCCCGGTGTCCCCCACACCCACCCTGCAAGAAAGGGCCCTCCTCTATTTCCTTTCAAGCCCTCTTTCTTTTACCTGCCCCTGTTCCACCCCTTCAAACAAAGCTGCCCTGACCACCACCTCCCCCTGGAGGGAGCTCTCCTCCCCCAGCGCCTGGGGCATTTGCGGACTGAAGGCATGGTGGAGCCCTTGTGTTCCCAGCGCTGGCTCCATACTGCACCCAAAATAAGCACTAGGTAAGTATGGTTGGAATGAATGAATGAATGAATGAATGACCACTTTATTACACAGTGGCATCGGGCGCCTCACAGAGGTTAGGTCCAAAGTTAGCAAATAAGGTCTAAAGAGCTCACAGTTTAAATCACCCTTGAAACTCCATCTGGAAGGCATAAATCTCTCATTAAGTCCAGTGGGACTATATTTCCTCCACAAGACCTGTCTCCTCAGATACCTACACCCCTGCAAAACCTAAGGAGAGGAACCTAGTCCTTCCCTCTCCTCCCCGTGGACTCCCAGATGTCTGCCCTAGACACGGGGCTGACAGGGGCTTTGCAGGGATTCTCAGGGTTTATCCAACATGTCCCCCCAAAAAACCCACATCTAGAAATCCTAAAAATAAGAGGCTCTCCATCCTCTCTCATTCTCCTCCAGGGGCTGCTCCTGTGTTGCCATGGCAGCCAGGCCAGGGTCTGGTAGCTCCTCGGAAGGTCCAACAGGCTGAGGATGAAGCCAGTGAGAGGCATGGAGGTGGCCCCAGCGGACAGCCGAAACTGGACGCCTGGAGTGAAAGCCAGTGCGCCCAAGTCTTAAAGAGCCCTGAAGTGTAGGGGAAATGCTCTCCAGCTTCGGGCATGAAGAGGGAAGGGCCCTGGGCTAGAGCCCAAAACTACCCACCAGGAGGGGACAGTTGCCCCTCTGACCTCATCTTTCCCCCAGACTCCACTGGGCTTTCGCCACCTTTTTATTTGACCATTTCCAAACAGAGAGAAAAACGGAAGGAAGATACAACTGCTCATGAAGCCTCCGTCTAGATGCGACAATTGCTCCTCTTTTGCCCGAGTCCCCATCTACCTGTCTGCATTTGAAACATTCGACAATGAGCTCCAGACATGGAGACACAGCCGCCTTAATTGCTTTAGCGGCATCTCCAAAGAATTGTCCATTCTCCTGCATAACCGCAAAACCAAGTGCAATGGGTATTTGACTTAAAACAACAACTTGAGGCGCCTGGGTGGCACAGTTGGTTAAGCATCCGAATCCTCCTTTCAGCTCAGGTAGTGATCTCAGGGTCCTGACCTCAGGGTTGTGAGATCAAGCCCCACGTCGGGCTCCGCACTCAGCACGGAGTCTACTTAAGATTCTCTCTCCTTCTCCCTCTGCCCCTCTCCCCATATACGCACGCATGCTCTCATGCTCTCTCTCAAATAAATAAATACATCTTTAAAAAAAACAACTTATAACTAATATTTTTTTCTAAGTAAAGAAGCTTTGCATGACTAGAAAAATAAGGGAGGGTCAGTGATTATAGAGTAAAATCATACCAACCCAAGCCTGGATTTGTCCTCAAAAACTTCTAAATTGGGTTCTCACCACAGAAGAACAAGTAAGCCTTTCAGCTCTGCCAAACATCTATCCAGGAAGCCTCTAGGTATATATTTAACAGCAAGCCTGCAAGTCATGTATTTATACTTCCCGAAATAATGTTTTGTGAAACTGGGGCTGTTCTACAAATGTATGCCGATCCCATAGTAGCTGCTTAATAAGTCCAAGTGCAAACCACCTTGGCGTGGTACCAAATCTTCTGAGCCCACCACCTGGGTCTGCTGGGGGCTGGCTCAGCCTCAGTCATCCCCAACCCAGCCTCGCAAGAACGGCCTCTATTTACCCAAAGAGGATCCTTTTGGTCCCACTGGACATCAGCTCTAGTGGCTCTGAGACCTCCTTAGTCACCCAGTCCTCTCTTTTCTTCTTATTTAATCCCTAATTTCTCTGTGGCCAGTATCACAAGTTAGCTCTTATTTGTCCTCTCTTTTCTCACCATTGGTTAGTCTTATTTCCCCAAGCAGAGCCTAATGCCCTCTCCTCTTTCCGCTGCAGCTCAGAGCTCTTTAGCCAGAATTGGTTATGGACTCCAGGCAGGTAAAGATCAAAGTCACTAGAGTCCCTGACTCCTGGCATGCCAGGGACTGCACTTAACCCCTTCCAAATACAATCTTATTTAGTCCTCACGAAACCCTATGAAACCCTGCGTCTGAGTCCTAGTATAATCCCCAATGTATAGATAAGGAAATTGAGGCTCAGAGAGATGGACAAAAGTCACACAACCAGTGAGTAGCAGAGGCAGATTCTGAACCAGCTGCTCAGGAGCCAAGTCCCAGACTTTTAGCCACTAGGTGCCAGAGATAGGATGTAGGGCAAAGGGGACCGTGTGGGTTCCCATGCAGACGGGTGGGGGTAGGGGTAAGGGAGCCGACCACTGAGGCTCGGGTGGATGGAGCTGCTGTGTCACCATTGTTATGGTACTCTGTTCCGAGTGGGAGTCTTGCATCCTACAGGGGGAGTCCGACAGAGCAAGGGACTCAGTATCCTCTGTGAGCCTTCTCTCCATAAATACTCAGTAAACACAAGCAGGTATGAAGAAATGCAACTTTATCATCTCCCAAGCAAACGTCCAGATGGCAGAGTGCAGGGGAGTGCTTGACCCACCCATTTGCGTCCCCTTGACAACTGCAGGGAGTGTGTTGTGTCCTGAGATGCGGGCATCGTGTCCTGGGGGGAACAGCAGCACACACATGCGCAGTAGATGACCACAGGTAGCTACCCCACATTCTTCTGCAATACGCAGAACAGCTGTGTGGGCTACAAGGGAGGCCAGAAAGGGAGCAGAGACTTGGGATGAGAGAAAAAAAGGCTGCCCCAACAGATTCCATCATTTGTTCGACTCATTCAGGGTTCAGAAAATATGAAGATGGGAACAAAGAGAAGATCTCAGTTCTTTTCCTCAAAGAGCCAAACAAAAGCTTTTGTTTTTCTTTTGAGCAAGAACTTTGTATTTGTATGTGAGGAATGGATGAGTAGTAAAGTATATGATTAGTTTAAAAAATATGAATGAGAACTTGAACTTTCACCTTAGTCTGTGCCCCATCTGCAGGGGGAAATTTTAGGATTTGTTTCAAAAGTTAAATTAAGAAAAATATCTAAGTGCCATTCAACTTCTATGGAGGAAAAAAACAGCCTCACAAGTCAAGCTATTGCCTTGAGAAAGATGTTCTAAATTACTTGATCTCCCCTTGCCCTACCTCCAACTTAGCTTTTAACAAAATGTATTTTCTGCATCCTGTGTAGATGTGAGGGAAGAGGGGGCCCCCTCCAGCTCAGGAAGAAGCAAGTAGCCTAAGCAGAGCTTAGGGGAGGGGGATACAAAGCAACTCAATGTATGTCCCAATCGGTGAGAGGTGGATAGGATATAAACAAGAGCAAGGTGAGGGGAGAGGAGAACCCTTCTCCTCCAGCCCTACCGGGCCCCCGCTCCCTACTTCCTGCTCAGGTCTCAGGGGGCCGGGGGTGGAGGCTATCTGTACCAGCCTGGCATGTGGCCACATCTGTGTCAGCCTGAGGGTCCGGCAAAGCTCACCTCACATTTGAGCTCTGCCAAGCCACACTTGGATCCTGGGGACATGGGCTGGGCTTTGAAGGAGCCTTAGCCTAAATGGGGAGCTTCCCAGAGGGGGTCAACATAGCAAGGGAGTTAGGGCATGAGCGAACTGCTAGTGGAACCAAGTGCAAGCTCCAGGCTGACCACAGAGGGGCCCTCTGTCCAGTGGGAGCTAGGTAGGACACGTCAGAGGTGTGATGCCGCTGGGAGCATTGTGGGGCCACAGAATGGTCTCTGAGGATGCGGCAGCCAGTGTTCAAGGTCATCGCTCCTTGCTCTGCAGAGCTGGCCTGGGGCCAGGTGGGCATACTTGCATAAGGGCCACGGAGCCTCCCAGAACAAAAGCAACCCAGACCCTGGCCCCAGGGCTTTTGACCTTCGGTATCACAAGAGCACATCTGACGGACTGAGGCGGTCCCAAATGAGGATCGGTGCAGGCAGGACCTCAGAGGGAAACTCACCATGAGGACAGGTGGTGATGGGTCTCAGGGCCCAGGTTCAACACAAGGGGTTAGTGACTCTGGTTCCCCCTGGAGTGGCCTTCAAAGACTGTGGCTGAGCACGAGACTGTAAACTGACCATTCAGGAAGCCCAGGGTGGGGCTTTTCTGCCATCTGAGCTAAAAGTGGAGCACGGGCATCATCCCAAGCAAGAACAAGGAGGCCTTCTTCGGCACCAGGCCTTTTCCCAGCAGTAACTCCCTTGTGGCAGGGCCAGGAGCGGCGGCAGCCAAAAGGAGCTGGATTGAAGTCTCCATCCACGTACTGTCCCCCCCGACACTGGGAATCCTGTGCCATGCTGAGTGCTCGTCTCCAGGTCCCGGCCTCTTCTGTCCCTCTGCTGTCCAAGATCCTGAACCTCTCCCCTGCTACAGACTGAATCCCAAAGTGCCCACAGCTCTGTGGTCCAGTGTGATTGACTGCAGAGGGGCTGGTTATCCAGCTATTGGGAGAGGCCACCACATGCCAACAGCCCCCCACCCCTGAGTCCCAACACAGGAGTGAGCACCTGTGTGTCACCCAGCCCTACCCGCCCCAAAGAGGGACACCTGTAACTTCAGCTCTTCTTTTCCCCGATCAGAATCTGCCAGCCTGGGCCCTTGCCCACAGCCACTGCAGCCCCACCCACATCCAGAAGCCTTCCCACACTGAAGGCAGGGGGGGCCAACAATTCACCAGGCTGTTCCTTCCTTCTGTCCTTTGCCTGCGATGCCCTCTTTCCTCTTCCTACCCAGATTCGCCTGGCAAATACTTAGAGATGCAGCTTAGACACGCTGGCTGCCGAAAGCCATCCCCGAACCCCTAGAATGGATTCCACTTCTCCAGTACCCTACACAGACCTTGCTCCTAGTGTTTCATTCATTCCTCTAATGAATACTTAAGCACCTACTATGCACCTGTCCTAGGTCCTGGGGATGCAGCAGTGAACAAAAGAACCAAAAAAAAAATCCCTGCCCTATGGAAGCTACACTCTAAAGTGTGTGGGAGTAAGTTAACTACATGGCATGTCAGATGGGAAGTTCTGTAAAGATAAACAAAGCAGCAAAGGGGATGAGGCATGGAGAGGTCAGTTATGTATGTGTCTCAATCACTGCATGGTCCCAGCAGATAGGCATTTGATTGTGTTTCCCTTCTGCCTGGCCAGGCACTCTACTGAGTGGTCCTCTCCACCAGGGTTGCCTATCTGAGCTGCGGCCTGGAAGGAAATGATACCCATTTCTAGTATAACTGATTCAAAAAATAAACCATGAAAAAAGAAACTTCTAGACAACAGCATTAAAGCTGGCTTCTTTTCCCCATGTCCAGAGCAAGCATCTCCAAGTGGATTATGGTTCTTATGAAGTTATCTGGGCAGGGATGTCTGCTAGTCATCTGGCTGTTAATGCTGCATTACGATTCATAGGTTTGTTGAAAATCAGAATTTTGATCGATTCTTTGCCTGAAGTCCTCCTCTTTAAGGGCTCACAGAAATGACATTGGCTCAGTCCCCAGAATTGGTTTCAAGAAAGCCTTGAGTTGGCAGATGTTCCTTGGGTGCTCCTGTGGGAGCCATTTACCGCTTGAGAGCCCTGAGATCCCTAGGTGTCTAAACCTGTGTTTCCCCTTACCCAGATCACCCAACCAGTCTCCAAGGAGTGAGGGCCCAAGAAAGTCAAAGCAGGGCTCCCACAGATAGGCAGCCTGTGTTTCAGGAGGCGCCTCTCCAACCCCTATCCCCAATTTTCCCATGGGTCATCCCTGACCCAAGGTGGCCTAATCACTTTCTCCTAGGGATGTGGAAGTGAGTCCCAGTGCCCAGAGGTGCTGCTGCTTTTTTGGAAGCTGTCTCGGGGCAGTGCAGCTGGGAAGAGACATAGAGTGTGTGTCAGCACCACATGTAAGGCAAAACTCCACAAGCTATCAAGGGGACCATGGAGCAAGTGTGCAGAGGGGTGCGGGCTGTGAGGGAGAGACAGAGAAAGAGAGATGGAGAGGTGGAGAGAGACAGAGAGAGGGAGACCGAGGGAGGCTGGGTCTGATCATCTGACACAATGCGCTGTGATATGTGAGCAGTAGAGACATGCCCAGAAGAGGGGCATGTGGCTCTGCCTGAGGACACCAGGCAGGTAAAGCTTCCTGGCAAAGAGGCGATGCCGAGGGGGAGCACTGAGGATGAGTAAGCATGAGGCAGGGAGGAAAGAAGCAGAAAAGGGAGTTTCAGGCTACGTGTATCAAAATTCAGAGGTATGAGGCATCATGGTGTGTATTGGGAAGCCCAGTGAGTCTGGAATGATTATTAAGACTGAAGAAAGAGCAGGGCACATATGTCATCCTGAGGAACTTGGCCTTGGTGGCCAGCCATGTGGCAATGTTCATGGGGCAGCTAGAGATGTAATCCATAGGTGATCGAATGATTTATTAAACCTTAGAAGCAGTATGAGGGCTGAAGATAGATATCAAGACACTGGCAGCAAAGAGGTCATAGAAATTCTTTTTTAAAAAAAGATTTTATTTATTTATTTATTTGCCAGAGAGAGCGAGCACAAGCAGGGGGAGTGGCAGGCAGAGGGAGAAGCAGGCTCCCCACTGAGCAAGGAGTCCGATGCGGGACTCAATCCCAGGACCCTGGGATCATGACCTGAGCCAAAGGCAGACACCCAACCGACTGAGCCACCCAGGCATCCTGAGGTCATAGAAATTCTAACATGGATGAGAAACGCGGCAGAGTGTGGGGAAAAACAGCACTACGCTGAGCACAGAACCCTGAGGAGCAAGACTTGGGTCTCAAGATCCTGAGCCTCCATCAAGGACTCTCAGAAGAACCGGTTAATGAGTAGAAGGAGTGCTAGGTGAGAAAGAGGCTATGTTGGAAGCCAAGGAAGTGGGAAGTCCCAAGAATGAGATCGTGGTCACCAGGTCGAATCAACAAAGCAGTCCAGGAAGATAAGGAATGACATGTATTCAGTGGGCCTGATCATCTGGAACTCACTGGGGACTTCTGGAAACAGTTGTAGAAGCAGAGTGCCAGGATGGGGAGCAATGAGTGGTGGGGGCCTTCCACCCAGTGAAGATGGCTCTTTCACTAAGCTTGGGGCAAAAGGAAAGGAAAGAGTGAGTACAAGGTCAAAGGAAGGTGCTTTGGGGGTGGGGGTGGAGGAAAGTTTGAGCATGTTTCCAGGTGGTGGGTAAGCTGGGAGAGGTTGAAGGCATCACAGGGCGATAGGAGTGGATGGAGCAAGTCCTGAAGGCAGCAGAGGGAACAGGATTGAGTGGAGGGGCTGGACTTGACCCTGAGGAGGGATGCCTAATCCCCAGAGACAAGGGTGGGTGGGAGGGTGTGTGTGAAACTCAAGGGAAAGCAGGATGGCCAAGCAAGGGAAAGCAGGATGACCAAACACAAGGGAAAGCTGGATGACTTCATCCAGTGTGAACACTGGAGAGAAATATTATGAAGAGTTTACCTGAGAATCCTGACCCTTCCCACAGGGAGTCCAAAATAATCTTCCAATTCCAAATCAATGGCATCCTTTCACCATCACCCTGGGAATAAGGAAGGATCAGAGTCTGGTTCAGAAAATGGGCAGTTTGTATCAGGTATTTCAGGCATGGAGTAGTTCGAGGTGATAACAAGATCCAGGATTTGGATGCTGAAATGAAGCAGAGGTAAGAGTAGTTGGAATTGAGGAGATCAAAGAAATCTGAGGCTAGGCTCCCAAATAGGTGTATCAGGTAGGAATGACATTCAACTGCAAGCAACAGAAAATGACTACAGTGGCTTACATGAACAAGGGGATATACATAATACAAAGTCCAGAAATTGACGGATGGTAATGATAGTTCAATAACCTTTTGATGACAGGGTGACCGCCATGATCCATTTCCTCATGGTTCAAAGATGGCTGCCCCTGCTCCAACCATCACATTTGCAGTCAAGGAGAGAAGGAGAAAAGGTGGTACCAGCCATAACAATAACAGGTGTTCCCAGTTATTAGGAAAGCAAAAGCATTTCCAGAAAACACTGCCCCACCCCCCAGGAGATCCCTACCTAGCTCTCCTTGAGCTAATGGAGTCATGTGGTCTTCCCTGGATACAAGAAAACCAGAACTGGGAACGAGACTGCCATAATAGATTTACATCCTGAGGTTGGGCACACGGCTGCATGGAACTAGATTCAAGGAAGAAGCAGGGACTGGATATTGGTTAGGCAAGCATGCAACCCATGGCAACAGGTCTTGTCCTGCTCCAGAAGGTTAGGACTCAGGTCAGTGGGGGACGGGATGGGGAGGAGAGTAACAGGAAGGTGGTCAGAGGCCAGAGCTTCAGGGTCCTTGGACTCCAGGCCTAAGTTTACACTGGGCTCAAAGGGGAGCTCTTAGCAGGATTTTAAGCAGCTGCGTGACAGGTAGAGTTGCCCTCAGGGAGACAGAAGAGCCAGCCTTGGTCAGATGTAGCGGGGAGGCGGGGGGGACCATGGCACCAGTTCGGGTGGGAGCATGGCTGCCCAGCCTCCCATACTCCCTTGAGGCCTCTGGGCACCACAGACATGTGAACTGGGCAACCCAGGTGGATGCGTTAGACTGCTCTGTTCACAAGAGGAAGTCAAGGCCCTGTGGCATACCACGAGAGGTGGCTCAGGTCAGATCAGCCCTCCGCAGGCCTCGCTGTCCCATCCCTCCAGCCTCTTTCGCATGCCCTGTGGTCCTCACCATGGTCCTCTCATTTGATGCCGGCCCTCTGGCCCAGCTGCCCTGAGGCTCCTGTCACAGAATTCAGGCTCCATGCCTCAGCAATGCTGAGTAAGAGATTCCCAGGGTTCCTGCCCCCACCCCCTCCCCAGGCCCCCTGGTCCCACTAGATAAATAGACACAGCAACACAGAGGGATAGACTATGGGCAAGACACTGGCTGTGAGGGGCCAAGGAGGTTGGGAGGGCAAAGCTGACCCCATTTCGAACCTGGGTGACCCATCCTACAGGCCATGGCAGTCCAGGGGATTTCAATAACCTTTTGATGACAGGGTGTCCCCCATCATCCATTTCCTCATGGTTCAAAGATGGCAGTA